CTTTTGATTTTATATTGTCGAGGCCGGATTGATTTTGTCTTCAGGAGTTCCGCGGTGGCCCAACTCCAATGTGGATCAGAAGTTTTCAGACTTTCTCCTTAGGTCTGGAATCTTCTAAGAATGCTTTTGGCCTCAGGAACTTGGGTGGCACTGACCTGAGACCCTGGCCGTGGTTGCGCCATGCAGGGAAGCAAAGGCAGATGGGGAGGGAAGAAGCCCCAAGATTTCCCAGGGAGTGGATTGAGTAGCTGGGTTGTACTGGATGCAAAGGATCAGGGAGAGTAAAGGTAAACCTTGGAGCCCCAGAAAGAGGTCAGCCCCAGAAAGAGGCTGGCAGGTGTTGCAGGACAGGGAAGTAGAGGGAGATGAGGGCAGGGCCAGGACCAGAAGCAGTGCTCCTGGAGCCCAAGAAAGGGACTGAGTTGCTCTGGGTGAGAAGGATCAGGAAGCAGTATTGGTTCCCCAGGTGTCTGGGGCCCCAAGACTAGGAATGGCGCAGGGCCCAAACTAGGCATATAGAACGGCGAGGGGGGGGATGGAAGAGTGAATGTGGCTTAGGGAGTCCTGGTGCGGAGAGCTGCACTATAGACTTACCCCAAGAGGCCTGAGGATAGTAGTGCAGGCTAGGAGAGTTAGCCCGTGGTGCAGGCCCAGGGAAGCAGAGAGAGGTGAGGGCGGGGCCAGGACCAGAAGTCGTGCTCCTGGAGTCTAAGAAAGGGACTGAGTTGCTCTGGGTGAGAAGGGTCAGGAAGCAGTATTGGTTCCCCAGGTGTCTGGGGCCCCGAGACTAGGAATGGCGCAGGGCCCAAACTAGGCGTATAGAACGGCGAGGGGGGGGATGCGATATGTAAAGTTTTAATTGTCAGATTAAAATAAGATATTGAGTAGCCAGAATATTAATTATGAAAGTATGTAAACAAATTTCCAGCACACTTTGCAATGATTTGAAGAAATCACAATTATGTTCACAATATTTCTTTTCCTTTTTTTCTTTTTTTTTGTTGCTATTTTTAAAACAGGGTCTCCCTGTTTCCCCAACTGGTCTGGATCTCTATGTATTCCAGGATAGCCTTGAACTCAGAGATCTGCCTGCCTTTGCCTCCCAAGTGCTGGAATTAAAGACATGCACCACCACGCTTGGCAATGTTCACAAAATTTTAACCAGAGCTAAGAATCACAATCATTTAGTTCTTTCAATTTTGCTGTATTCTTTTGTTTTCAGTAAAGAAACTTTACTCCTGACAGAATCATACAGAATCATGCTTTTTAAAAGAGACAGATGGATCTATGTGAGATTGAGGCAGGCCCGGTCCACATAGTGTGCTCCAGGCCAGCTGGGGCTACAGAGACATCCTGTATCAAAACGCATCCCCCCTTTGAAAAATAAGTGGTGGGCCAGCACTAGATTGAGAACTATTTGTGACTAATTGCTGCTGGGTGAGGGAGAGTATGACATACATACAACCACTGGATGGGCTGACTAGACTCCAGTGGACATATTTACACTGAAGGACACTGGGTATAAATACCCAGAATAGGACTCCGCATGTATGGCAGAGTGCATAGGATTCGGTAGGGGAAAAGGGGGAGGCCTGGGTGGTGGACGGGGGTCTGGATTTCAGTGGGAAATGCATGAAATTTGAAAAGTTCAATAAAGAAATTTACAACTAAAAGAAAATCATGAATTAAAAAAATTTAACACCCACCCCTCAAACAGCTTAAAAAATGAAGTTGTGCTTGAAGTTGTGCTCATTTCATCTCTGAGTATTATTGGTGAAATAACTACATGTATCTCTGAAAAATCTCTCTCTTCCATACCAGTAAAGAACATCCCCATTTCATCACTGTATTTATTATACAAATATTACAATTCATGAATTTATGTTATATGTGTCAACTTATTATATGTAATGCATACCCACATATTTAATTTCGTGCTTCTGAAAGAAAAGCGATCATGGTATTGTTTCCCTTGTTGAATATATTCTTGAACTTTGGTCTGAAAATATGCCAAGAATCATGTTTGAAAATTGGCCCCTGAAGATGACATGTTGTGTGATGTTCAGTGCCCTAAATGAGGAGCCCTGGCATTATCAGGCAGAGAGCAAGGAATACACAGGGTTGCTTACATTCACAGCAGCTCCTGGGATTCTGTTGCATCGTACATTACTAATAATTTTTTGGTTTATTCTAGACCTTCATAAAACTTCGAGAGTGGTAAAAATTTACCTCCCAAATAAAAATAATAACTGAACAAAAATTTGGGAACAATAGTGTAGAGGCAAACAAATGCTACAGGTAAGAAATTTTCAGGTCCTTAAATGGATTTCCTATGCTTTTTGTGAGAAAATTGAAAGAATACGAATTTTTAGGGGCATGATATTGTAAAAAAGTTCCTGTTCATTTATTTGTTTCCCACTAACTTTGGTGCACAGTATTCATAAACTTAAAAGGGATTAGATCAGTTAAACTGAAGCAGGGACTTCATTAAGAAGAATTTATGTACACATATCATTTGAGACTTTCATAAGTTATATCAGAATTTGTGACAACAGAAATGTAGAGTTGATAGATGAGGTTCTAAAAGTAATAATCAGAGTTTGAAAATGTAATTTTAGAACAAAATTGTCTTGGGATTGTCCAGTAATGAAAATATCTTATTATCAATGATAGTGTATGTCTTAATGTAGACTATTATAATCCTATTACAAGTGAGATTTGTTTGTAGAGTTTATTGACATAACAAAAGAATGAGCAATAAATAATATATTAAAGTTGTTTTCGCTTTGTTCCCTGTAAGTGTAACACTTCATTTAGATTTGTTGAACTAATAGTAGCTAGGAGCAGTGTCATGAGCCTGCTCTTTGGAGTTAACTTGTTTTGTCATAATCCTGAACTCAACATGCTTGTGTACTGAGCTCTCATAAGTCATTCAATCATTCTGCACCCCCTCGTCTTAACATAAGTGGATAACAGTAGTATACACAAAGTAACATTTTATGGAAATCAAATTTGTTACTAAAGGAATTCGTTTAGAATCATAACAATTTTATTGATATTATAAAGTATGCTAACCTTTATGATATCGTATTTAAATATCAATGTATCACCCGTCTATTTTGTCAATGAATATTTTTATAGTCATATAGCACTGTAAAATAGTATAAATGTTGAGACCACCAAAAGTAATTGTAAAAATACTATTACATACATATGCAAAAATTATTTTGAAATCATTCAGGGTAAGTGTCACTTTTGATTTCTCAACAATTTAGGACAGTTCATCATGAACAGCTGGAATTATACAACTGAGCCTGACTTCATCCTGATGGGCCTGACAGATTCCAAGGAGGTCCAGCTGGTCCTCTCTGTGCTCTTTCTCCTGATATACCTGGTTACGGTGCTGGGGAACACAGGGATGATTCTCCTCATTCATCTAGATGCCCAGCTTCACACCCCGATGTACTTCTTTCTCACCCACCTGTCATTCCTGGACCTCAGTTACTCAACTGTCATCACACCTAAAACCTTAGAGAACCTGCTGACTTCCAGCAAGAGAATTTCATTTGTGGGCTGCTTCACCCAGCTGTACTTTTTTGTCCTCCTGGCAGCTGCTGAATGTTTCCTTCTGTCCTCAATGGCCTACGATCGCTACGTAGCTATCTGCAACCCTCTACACTACCCAGTTCTCATGTCCACAAGACGCTGCCATGCCCTCCTCACTGGATCCTACATGATTGGGGCTATGGATTCCTCTGTCACTGTCTTTTGCTTAAGTACACTTTATTTCTGCAACTCCAACATCATCCATCACTTTTTTTGTGACACGTTTCCAATTTTAGTCCTGTCCTGCAGTGACACGTACAAAGCTGAAGTCACCATATTCATTTTAGCTGGTTCCACACTCCTGCTGTCCCTGATCACAATATCCTCATCCTATGTGTCCATTCTTTCTACCATTTTGAAAATCAAGTCCACTTCAGGAAAGCAAAAAGCCTTCTCCACGTGTGCCTCTCATCTCCTGGGAGTCACCATATTTTATGGCACTATGATATTTACTTATTTGAAACCAAGTAAGTCCTATTCCTTGGGAAGGGATCAAGTGGCTTCTGTGTTTTACACTATTATGATCCCCATGCTGAACCCACTCATTTATAGTCTCAGAAACAACGAAGTGAAAAGCGCTTTCATTAGAGTTGCTAAAAAGAGAGAGGGCTCCAGATGGTTACGATGATAGTGGTGCTAATCATTTAAAGTCTTCTTTACCATTTTAATCTTGAGCACTTCATTGATTTCTCTCTGTACATACAAATTACAGCCTTGTTGCTATGTATGTGGTGCTTCCTATACTCATACGTGTTCTTGGACATTTCCAGGAATGCAGTTTTAGAAGCCTGTGTCAATTTGGATATTAAGAAACACATGTTAAGCCTATGCACTATCTATCTATGTTCATAAAGGCAACTAGTATGTAAAATGAGAAAATTTATTTTTTATTCTTAAACATATAAAATACTTCATGTACTATGAAATTTTAGACAATCATATTATAGAAAGATAATTTTGGCCCAATGGCAACAATTTCAGAATTTATTATTTTTATAATATGAAATAGTTTTTCCTTAGTAAGTGAATTCTTACACTTCAATTTCCTCAGCTTCACATAATAAAAACTAATTCCACACCAATGTGATAAGAGAATGGGTGTGATGCATTAAAGATAATAGTGAAGATTTCTGCTGATTATCATTGTATTTCATGGTCAAATTTAAATATGCAAGGTGCTTGAAGAATATGTACAGATGTATATCAAACTATTTTCAGTTAGTTAAATCACAATTTTGCAAATAACTGGGAGGATTAAAATCAGTTTTTCTGGTTTGAATTTACATATATTATTGAAACTAAGTTAAATTATAGGTAAATGGTATAAAGTTGATGACAAGGTGGGAATAAAGTTATGAGGAAGAAAAATACTGAATAGTTATTGAAGTTCACGCATCCACTTCTCAATAATTGCGACTGTATGTCTACATGTGACATACAGAAACATTGTCTTTTCTTCTGTAGTCTTTTAAAGCTTTCTTTTTTCACCTAGAAGTCTAAGATTTTATAATATTTTTGCCATGATGAGCTGTGAGTTGAATGTGTTCGCAATCTTTTGTGAGACCCATACTCTCATCTTGCACAAATTTGCAACTGATATCCTATAGATTTATCAAGTTAAAAGTCTGTATGTAGTAATAGGCCTGTGTGTACACCTACTAAACTCTCAAAACACATCACTTTGAATCAAGTTGTTACATAAAACTGAGGCATAGGATGAGCCGCATGCAGAGAAGGCACCAAGAGATTAACTTGCAGACATTGAGAAAGTTTATTCAAGCAGGTGGTGAACTCAAGGCCACCTCCTCCCAAAGAACTCATGTTCCCAATTCAGTTCCTTTGCTGTTTTTATAAGTCCCCCTCAAAGCTATTCTTTACTGTTACAGAACTGTTGGGTTTAAGCTCCAGTTTGCTTGACTACCGTTGCAAGTGCCCTAAGTCAACCAAAGGAAAATTCCTTCTGAGGGCACGTTTACAGAGGCAGGTATCTAGGGCAGGATTTAGGATATTATTTAGCAGAGTTTATTGCTGGTGCCTTAACAAACAAGGAAGTTGCAAACGTATGGACATTCCACTATATAACTATGGTGTTTATTTCTCAAGATAGCTCTCTCCATTAGAGCTCTGATTTCTTTGTTAACATAAGTTGTAGTAAACACTTATAAAACCACTAAAGGCGAGTACTGTATATGTTGTAAAGTATAAAAGCCAGTCATAAAACAATACTTGAACACACACGCACACACTGACCAAAATGCATGGGTATATTTCTTTTCCTCATAAAAGTAGCTTTGTTCCCTATACTGTTTTATTGTCTTTTATCTGAACATTTTACCTTTGTGAAGAGTTTAAAATAAATTCTTGAATTAAATCATTGGCAAATCTTTAATTCAATTTTGTAAGATAACTCTCTAAGACATAAAGTTGACAATGAGTTTATTTTATCTTGCATGCCAGAAATGTTTTCAGATACAATACTAAAATTTTATTTATTTTTAGAATTTTAATCTCCATAGCCTATAATCTCAGTTTGAAGTTTCTTTCTCCTATTTAAACATTATTTTAGAAAGTGTTTTATTCTAAACTCATAATGATTACTATAAAGATATGTCTTTAAATCACACATTATTTTTGAAATGTACATTATTCATTTAAAATTATACTTATATTTATTTACTTTCCTTGTATGTGTTACAGTGTGTTTAAAATCAAATACAACTGTCCCAATTTAGTATTTATTTTTAAGCTTTCACCTATTCAAATTTACCAGTTTATTCAATGATTCATCATGTGTATACTATTCCCCATTTAATCTATTTCCAAAGATTGGCATTATACCATATCAGTATCACAGAATATACAATTAAGTTTAACTCTGGTAACTGTGCTGCCTATAATTTATATTTGTTAGTATTTCTATTTTTGTTTATAATTAGTAATTGCAACTTAATAAACGTCCAAAATTAACTCATTTGCTTCTTTATTCATTTCTGTTCTTGGCTACGCTTCATGATAGTTCAGATAGTAAAGCTGTTTCCTAATTTACTGTCATTTTTATTGTGACTACTTAGTATTGTGAATGAAATTTCTCCCAAACCAACAGCAAAAACCTGTGTCTTCAATGGAACCTCCTCAAGACTGGTTACCTGATTAGCACTTTGGTAACCTAGTACAGGAATGGTATGGATCCAAAGCGTACTAACAGTTTGTCTTGGGCTATCCTTAGTCACCTAAAAAGTCATTCTTTGCCCACCTTTGGGTGGACCAGACCTTCTGTGAGCCACAAAACCTTTTGGGGATATGTTAGTTTAACAGACCACTAGCTTTCACCAACCCAAGGGCTAAAATATGACTGGAAAATAGCCTTGTAAATATATTCATAACATTAGACTAGAACTGCTCTTAGCCTTGGAAATTCTTTCTGCTGTTAATGCAGAGAAACTTAATTGGACAGAGTTTCAGAGATAAGTGTCACGTCTAAATGGGACATCTAAATAACACTCTCACAAGGTCCAGTTAACACTGCAGAAGAAAGGCAGAAAAAATTATGAGTGCTGGATACCAGAGAGAGGTGCAGGGAAGCATTGTTTTCAAACAGCATCCAAAGACTATAACAAAAGCCTCCTTGTTTTGCTTATGAGCACATTTCTGATGCTTCCACTAGTATATTTTCAAAGGTTCTTGATTAATGGATTTCTTTTAGTATTTGTATAAAAACTTAATAAGCACTGACTGTTTTGGAACATAAAATTTGGGGTGACGTAAATCTATGTTTCTCCCACCTTGGTCATTTATATTTAACTCCAGAATAAGCTTTTTAACAAGCTTTTATCCTCTTTAAGGTAAGAGTTATGTTTCTGTATTGACAGGAGACATAAGTCACAAGCATGTAATTTGTTCACTTACACCATTCAGTTGTATTAGTACAGCATATTCGTAGGAATGTGAAGCCATTAGTGTTTTTAATTTTGAACATATTTGAGCAATTACATACATACGTACAATGCATTGTGATCATACTCACCTCCCCCCATTACACTCTTAACTCCCTCCCATTCCTTCATCCCTTTGCCAAGTAGTACCCCTCCTATCTTCATATCGTGTGTGTCTGTGTCTGTGTCTGTGTATGTGTGTTAGATGATCTTATGCAAGTACCCATAGCTCCTATGTGCTCATGATTGTGACAGCCATACCATTATCAGAAAACCATATTTCTCAGCACCTCTTTCCATCATCCATCACTCATAACTTTTCTGCATTTCTTCTGCAATGTTAGCTTGACCTTGTAAGGGGGTTATTTGGGCATCCCATTCAGAGATGAAACTCAGTAAGCACTTATCTTGGAACTCTGTCCAGTTAAGAATCTTTTCATTAACTGCAGAAAGAATTTCCAACATAGTATTTACAGAGCCGTTTTCCAGTCATTTTGGCATAGAGATTTAACTTGTCAGCTTTGTCTCTTTGTGTTTGCATCAATGGTCAACAGAATCTGTAATTTTGCAGATAACATCCAAATGGAGAAATTATTCAACTCTAATTAAGATATTTTATCATCTTTATAATATATGCCCAAAGCATTTGTATAATGGGATTATATCATTATATAGCCGACATGAACTATTTGTGCTTGACCTAGGATTTCTTTATTTTATCCTTATACATTATATTCCACATCAGATACTGTCAAAAGTAGTTTATGACATATACTTTATATTATGGAGTCATGGTAAAATATTACATAATATAAACATGAATTTTTTGTATAAAAATTTATTCAACAAATAATTTTTGATATCTTTTCAGGATTAGGAAAGTCTTAAGTTCTCTGCTAGATGACATTTAACCACGTGACAGTCAATAATGTGACTTAGATTAAAATAATATTTTTAAATGAAATCTAACATTCATATTATTACCTTTTTAGGATATTAGAATGGGGCAGCTATGCAGCTAAATTTCCTCTGGTCTGAGATATATGATATTTGATATTTTTTAATGAAGGCTGACTTCAAAATATATCATGAGAACATGTAAATTTTCAAGAGGATTCAAGGAGACTCTGACCTATGTATATATTTTAGACAAAACATACTCTTTATTTAATCAAAAGTATTTTTTAAATGTTATCATACTATATCCCTGAGTCCTGGTTGATTTTATTTACTTATTTATTTTCTCCAATGGTCCATTCTTTGAAATAATCCACATTACTGAAGAAAGTACATGTTTCCCAGGCTTTAGATAGGATTAAGCTTTGAAAAATACTTTCCAAACAGTTCTGTCTTCATCCTTACACTCTGCAATGGAACCACTGAGACTGTGATTGGGATATACATGAAGTATGTCTGATTCTGGAAGAATCCAGTTTCACTCCTTGAAAAAAAAAATAGGTAGGAGGGTCAACACCATCTTCAGTTAGGAGGTACTGCTGTGAAAATATCTGACAAAATTCCTGAAATAGATTATTTTATACTAATATTTTATTAATTCAAAAATACTTTATAAGAAAATGTAAATATAGCTTCCAATAGGAATTTTATACCTGGGCTTGACAAGCTTTCAAGTTAAACAACAATTTGTAACTAAAACTTTAATCCCAGGGATTCTCAGAAGTTTATTACAAAGATA